AAGATATAAGCTCACCCCGATGTTACACTCATCGAGATCTTTCATTTGAGTACCCACATCAATTTTTCATATATTTCATATATTTATATATTTCACAAATACCATATATATAAAAAAATATATGAAAAATTGATGTGGGTACTCAAATGAAAGCTCTTGATGAGTGTAATGTCGGAGTGAGCTTATATCTTTAAAAATGTCAATATTTCACAAGATACAAGGTCATTTCTCAATTATATATCTAGAGGCAGATCATTTTTGAATACAGCCTAAGTACTGATCATAATAAATTGACTATCGGTGAGAATAATATGAAACCTTGAAAAAGCACAAACCTTTGTAATGACTCTAAAATAAAAATGACGAAAAATAAATAACTTTGAGCTGTTTGAACGGATCTTCCCTGAATAATTATAGTGGTAATAATGTTCCGGAGTTTAATTAGCAAATAGCCGCGATTTCATGTTCATTGGATTTAATGGTCTGAATGGTTTCTGGTTTCTGGTTGGGTTTCTTTTAAATGTAAGTGAAGCTAACTCTGGCTAGGTTGGTACGATAAAGTTTGCGGGATGAGAACTAAAAAAAGATAAATAGAAGTAGCAGCAGAGGAGCATTACTGAGCGTCGGGTACTTAAAGTTCAAGCACGATACACATTACTGGGTTTATTGTTTCTCGCTTACTATTTACGAAACAAAAACAATGCTTTCGGGTTGAGAAGTTGGTAAGTGGTTTAAAATTGCATCGATAAAACTAAATGTACCTAAGCTTTTCCCTTTTACCTCATTTCATTTTTATTCTTTCGATTTTCATTTTCATTTTCATTCAAATTACACCCAATAATATATTTTAATTACACTAAAAACTATTTTAATTACACCGGGTGATTTATTTTTTAATATTCCCCGTTGATTGATCGCGAAACAACGTGTCTTGTGCAAGCATCGGCTCTCCGCGAAAAATCAATGCGCGATGATTGACGTTTAAAATAACTTGAGCTTTTTTTCATTGTTTTATTTTTTAATAATATTTTTCATAACTGTAATCGATCATACTTTGTGTGTTCTATTCAAAATTCCGAATCCCATCAGTGATTTATTGTCTTTTTTTTTTTTTTTACGGAAATTCGTTCGAAATTAAATATTTTTATCATACAAAACTTTTTTTTCTTTTTTTAATTTAATCTACAGTTCATTTTACCCTTTCATAATGAATAATGATGAAATAAAAAGCGTATATGTATGCCTTTCAGCAAGTTTTATCAGTAAGTCTTCTCTTCTTGCGCTGAGTATACAAAACCTGTCGGATTTTATCTTATACAGAACAATGTTCTTAACTTAATGTTGATACTGGCAAACTGCGTCGTTTGTCTTTACTGATAAGCTTACTTGGTAATAAAAAAATTTATATTGTTATCTAGGTCGGGATTTTATAAAATATTACCAATATTTAATAGCTAAATATGAGCGTTGATACAATCGATAAAATAAATCAAATAAAGAAATGGCATTTGCAAAGGAAAAAGGAAATTATGATTATCTTTTATTGCCTTTCATCAGTCTATCCTCGTTATTAAGAACAAAACAGATTAAAAATTTAAATAAAAATTACGAGTTTGTCGTAAAAATTAATCACCCCAATAAAACTCGTCTCCATTATTATTATTTTTTAAATATTGTCACTTTAAAATAAAAACACCTTACCTCTGAACTTTATTTCAAAAAAATGAAAATTCAAAAACTAGACACAAACTTTTTGAAACCTATCACTGATCCGAGATATATAACTTTCACGTTTTACGGTCCAAATAACGCCTGGTTAAACTTTCTCGGTAAAAAAGTAACGACCTACTTTAAAAAGATTAATCTCATCTCAGAGAATAACTTTGAATTGAATACTTTTGTTTATATCAATACTTATATTTAATTAAGTCTATTAAAAATTAAAAACAAAGCACTTTAACATCTGAAGCTCACGAAAAAATTGAACGCAAAACACGTGTTGGCGAGTCTGCCATAAGAACTGAGTGATTCATCCAAGGAAATAAAAGTAGTGAGTTTACTATAGTGCAATGAGCCACGTTCTTACTATTTATTCCCCTATAAACTATATCTTATTCTTATTTTTACAATATAGTTACTTTTAGTTACATTATGTTTATAAACTTTTCTTTACAAGAATTCTCCATTCATACACAATGAGAAACGGGTAAAAAAAAAAATTTAATTCATTCTGTTCGCGCTTTCAAAGTACAGTATTAACTTTAAATTGGCTTCCTAAAAGTTAATAAAATTTGTTATCAACGTCTCTATGTCGGAAAGTTACTTTTTTACAATACATCACGACTTGATACAAGTTACATAATTTTTTTCTCTATTACTATTATTCGGACAAAATAAAAATAATTTTTTTTTTAATTAATATCTATCACAAATAATAAAATTAATTATTTTTTTTTC